AAAAAAAAAGAAGGCAACCATACAAGTGCTGCGCTGTAACTGCCGTGGCAGCCAGGGGAATATCTCATATACTTTTTCTGACCCAAGTAACACTTAAACTTCTAACTCATTACTGTACAGTAATATACATCTTTGCAGACAAATGAACAATAGCACTTTCAGCAGTCAAAGAGCTTTCTGATCTAATCTTTCATTCCAGTCAAAGCAACGAATCAAGCTTCGAAACCAATCACCTGTTTGGTCGGACTTGTTGACAGTTGGAAGTGGATGTTGACTCATAGATATGCGAACTGAATCGCCTCTAGAGAGTTGTTGCCTTCTCTTCCCATCAAACGAGACCCAAGCATTACTTCGTGCATCCTCTGGAATCTACGTACCCCCAAAGCAAGAATGAAAAACATTAAGGTTTTAGAGCCTCTAGCACCCAAGATAATATGACAGACAAGTCATGGGAGTAAACAGATAAGAACAAATAGTCTCAACAATAATAAAGGTAGAGGGACGAATGGTAGAATTACAGCCACTTCTGGGATATTCATCAAGTAGTATGTGATAGTCTCTAAGTTAAGTAACATAAAATGTTGAAAACCAAGACACTCCAGTAATTAACATTACAACATACTGCAAAATTGCATTAAGAAAAGCATACCTTTAATTCTAGCCGCGCAGAATCAGGAAGTATGACAGGTCTGAATGAGAGAGAATGTGGGCAAATTGGTGTAAAGAGCATGCAAGGAACATTTGGATGTACCTGCATTTGGGTATAGCCACTGGTAAAAACTAGCGTACAATTTCATAATTCTCAACTCATCTCAGGAAAGCATTATCCCATTGCATAATTCTGAACGCTAAATAATCCATCATTATAAAACAAAGTAGCAGCATCAACTATGAATAACAGGCATGGATTTCTAAACGTGTCGTATCATCAGAGCATAGATGTCATGAGTGTTTTGTTTTTACGTACATAAAATTAAGTATTCACTAGATGTTTCTATTTTGATTTTTCGGGGCCCTCTTGCTTTAATCTTTCAAAAAAAAAA